AAGTCCTTGGGCCCCTATACCCGCCTGGGAGACCCAGAAGAATCTCTTAGCTCCTGGCTTCAGATCAGAGCAGCTCTGGCTATTGTGGCCAACTGGGGAGTGAACCAGTAGACAGAAGATCTCTGTCTGTCTGTCTCTGTCTCTCTCTCTCTCTCTCTCTCTCTCTCTCTGCCTTTCTGTAACTCAGCCTTTGAAATAAATAAATCTTCAAAAACAAAAAAAAAGTAATTTGTTTAGCTATCCAAGTTTCTCAAGTAGACAACAGTTACTGAATCATATTAACTCACCCAGTAGTATGTCTACAGTGACAACATTAAGGCAAGTCATGCAGGCAGATCACGTTAGTTGCTTGAAAAGTTAACTTCAAAAGAGAGATACTGAGGTGGGTATTTGGTGCAGTGGTTAAGACACCTCTTGGGATGCCCTCATCCCATACAGTAATACCTGGGTTTGAGTCCTAGCCACTCCACTCCACTTCTGATTCCAGCCTCCTGCTAATGCACACCTTGGGAGGCAGCAGGTAATGGCTCAAATACTTGGGTCCCTGTCAGCCATGTGGGAGACCCAGATTGTATTCCAGGCTCCTGGCTTCAGCCTGGCCCAGCACTGGCTCTTGCAGACACATGGGACTGAATCAGCAGATGGCAGATCTCTGCATCTGTATCTGTTTCTCTCTCTCTGCCTTTCAAATAAATAAAAATAAGGGAGATGCCTCCCAAGCATTCCTAGTGTTATTACCCACAAACGTGGCTAATCTCATTTGTACTGTGGCCTGAACATCCTACTAGAATAGCACTGACAGTGGCTAGTCTCCAAAGAAGGCCGCCCACAGCTTCCCACTCCCTGTTTATGTCCATCGCTCTTCACATTAACAGGTCGGAGTTATTTCCCCTCCTTCTGATTCTGAGTTAGCCTTGGCTAGTTTTGACCAAAAGTGACATTCTTGGACTTCCAAATCCAGGACTTAAAAGGGACTGGCAGTTTCTACTTCCTGTCTCATAAAATGCTCCTTCTTAGAACCCAGCTACCAGGCTGTAAGGAAATCCCAGCAGCCACATGGAGAGAGGAACAGACGGAGGAGAGCTGAAGGCCCTTAGCCCTAGGTGAACTCTCAGCCAGCGGCCAGCCCTCTGAACATTCCAGCCATGCAGGCACACCAGCCAACATCAAGCAAAACCAAAAAAGGCATCAGATTTGAGGAAATCATAAATTGTTTAAGTTATTAAGTGTTGGTTTGTTACCTTTTATACCGCTTAACTGACCTATCAGCCCCCAAAAAAGAAATTTCTATACATCCTAAAATTATTTCACTGGTTTCAAGTGTTATTCCACTTGACTCTGGGACTGGCTGGACAAGAATATATTTACCCTGGGGCTGGCACTGTGGTGTATCAGGTAAAGCCACCGCCTGCAGTCCCAGCATTCCATATGGGCATCGGTTCGAGTCCCGGCTACTCCACTTCCTATCCAGCTCTCTACTACGGCCTGGAAATGCAGTAGAAGATGGCCCAAGTCCTTAGACCCCTGCACCCACGTGGGAGACCTGGAAGAAGCTCCTGGCTTCGGATCAGCACAGCTCCAGCCGTTGCAGCCAACTGGGGAGTGAACCAGTGGATGGAAGACTTCTCTCTCTGCTGCTGCCTCTGTTACTCTGCCTTCCAAATAAATAAATCTTAAAAAATAAATCTTTTAATAAGATAATATATTTATCATATCTATTTTTAATATTTTTTAAAGATTGATTTATTTATTATTTGAAAGAGTTACGGGAACCAGCACTGTGGTGTAGCGGGTAAAGCCACCGCCTGTCGTGCCAGCATCCCATATGGGCGCCGGTTTTAGTCCCAGCAGCTCCACTTCCGATCCAGCTCTCTGCTGTGGCCTGGGAAAGCAGTGGAAGACGGCCCAAGCGCTTGGGCCCCTGCACCCGTGTGGGAGACCCAGAAGCTTCAAGCTCCTAGCTTCTGATCAGTCCAGCTCTGGCTATTGCGGTCATCTGGTGAGTGAACCAGCGGATAGAAGACCTCTCTCTCTCTGCCTCTGCCCCTCTGTAACTGTCTTTCAAGTAAATAAATAAATCTTTAAAAAAATTTTTTTAGAAGTCCTACACTTGATCTTAGCCAAAAGGCCAAGGAGCAATTCATAAAAGCTCTAATCAAAGCACTACATTAATGTGGAAATAAGTAAACTCATCAAAGTATCCATTTTGTACTGACATTTTAAGGAAATTTTACATTTTTCTATGCTGTGGAAATCAGAGCATCTGTACCAAAGCTGTCCTTAGCAATTCATATCTGAGGAGGAAAAATAAAAGGCCAGAATAAAGCTGCATACAAAGACAAACATTTCAATGTGATGTAATAAAGGACAGCTCCTCCATGTGTGCTATACACTATTTACTTGAAGCAAATTTAAACACAACATCTTCCTAGGAGCTGGGCATTTAGCCTCGTGGTTTAGCCATCCATGGCAGAGTATCTGGGTTCAGTACCTGGATTCCAGCTTCCTATTAATGCAGACCCCGGCGGCAGTGGTGATGGCCCAAACAACTGGGTTGCTGCCACCCACGTGGAAGAGCTGGACTGAGTTCCCAGCATTCAGTGCATGAATTACAAGATGGGTGGTCTCAGGCTTTCTCCCTTGCTCTGCCCCCTCCCCCTCTCACCTCTGCTTCTCAAATAATTTTTTTTAATCTTTCTATCACAAATTGACTCTAAATAAACTAGGAATACTACAGAAAGGTAAATGGGACCAAAGGGAAGTTGTGACTTACTCAGATTCATAATAAGGCTGTTACAGAGCTGGAAGAGAATTCCAAACCTCTAACTCTCCATTCTCTGCTCTTCTTCTTAAGGTGTCATCACTCTTGGTGACTCTCTTCCAACTGGCCATTTCTCAAACAGCAGCCATAATGATAGGTAGTCAAAAATGAAACTAACTAAAATTAAAGAAAAATTTGACTTCTCCCTATGGAAACTGACTTAACATTTAATAATGCATGGCGTCCCAAAAGTGGCAAACCACTACATGGCCTGGCTTTAACTCAATCAGGAAGCCATCACAGAGACATAACTCACTGATACGAAGCAAAGATCAAGCACTTGAGAATGTTCCCATGCTGAGGTTTAAGGAGGAGTTAAAAAAAGATGATCTCATAATGTCTCTTTATGATCTGTAAATCACATTATTCCATAAATCTGACACAACTCAGGATTTCGTCAGGATTAGGATTAAGAGTCAACCCTCCTTCTAACTAGGCAAGCAAAAATAAGAAGTTGCCACTTTTCTGACGTGAATCTAGGATCTGGCTGTAGAGATAAAGTAACTTTCACTTCCAAAAGAAAAGAAAAAGCAAGGTCTCTTCTTCATATTTTAGAATTTTAACATTGGGCATAAATTCAAGAACCTTCTGGTTCAATGGAATTCTGTTCATGATACACCTGAACTTTAATTAGATGTTTTTGAAAGTACTAACAGAAAATTATAAATATAATTTTCTGAAAAATATTCTTATAAATGGAGAAATTTAAGCCTAAATTCAATTAGGTTAGTATTTAATCTGCTATGGTATTTTAGGCAAAGATACAAAATAACTTTTTAACAAAGGAATAAGATTTGGAGTGGCAGATCACAATTAGGTCTGAAAAGCAAGACTTGACTGCAAATAATATCAATGTCCCTAAAGCCACCTGTTAAGTAAAAGCCACAAAGTCTTGTTTTGCACCTAGGATACACAAGAAGCATCAGATTAAAAGCATCAAATCTCAGATTATACAAGTTTGCCCAACATAAGCATGCTGATAGAGAAGTGGGATACAAAGTAAAAAGGCTCTAAGGAGTTTACACACCCACAATCCAACCACATGCCCCTGCTATGCTCAACAAACTTAAAACTGAGGGGCGCCCCCCACCAATCCCAATTTATCTCATTAGCTACATCCCTCGCCTTCCCTTTTCCTCTCTTGAATTTCTCCACCGACCTCATCACTTGTCATGGGTCTCTACAACCATAATTTCCACGGCTTGCCTTTCCCAGCCCATGATACAGCCCGTGGATCCCACACTTCACTGCCTCCCACTTGAAGCTTCAAGTTCTGTTTCACTCTATTAGACATTAATTTTGCCCCAACCCCTTGTCCCCATGTCTCTCTGGCAATCTGCCTCTTGCTTTTCATCACCTCATACACAAGTACTTAACCTCTCCTTACAAACCAGGTATAGATCCCTTTTCCTGACAACTGTTTCACAGTCAACAACCCCCTCCTCGCCCACGGACTGTCACCACGGGTTCCTATTCCTTGTCCTTATCTCCTCTTCCAGAGTTTGTCAACAGTAGTTTGGCTAAGAGGGGATTCACCCTCAAGGCAAAGGCTATCTTCCCCCTCTTTCTACAAAACTACAAGCCCCTCACCCATCTGCAAGCCCTCAGCCCAGCCGCATCGGCCCTGCTCGCTCCCACCCTACCCCCAACGTCTGTGCTCCCACTGTCCCGTGCTCCCCTTCCCCACTCGGGGATGCACCTCCTCTCCGGGGCCTTACCCGTAACCCCGACACTGGGAAGGCCCTACCAACGGCCTCACGGCGTCTCTCCACCCGGCTTGCTCAGCTCTTCGGTAACTGTCCCCACGCCCCTTTCCCTCCCGGGCCCCGCGCGCCGCCAGGAGACCCCTCCTCGATTAAGCTCCCGCTGTCACTTGGCTCCTCATCCACAAGATGGCGGAGCTGCTGCCCCCCACCTCTGGATCCCCTCCGCACCCCCCAGCCTCCTCCCCCGAGCTCCGCTCCAGTCCCTCTAAGCCGCCCCCGCCGCTGGCCTCGGCCCAGGGTCTCGCCAACCCCCTCCCGCAGTGGGCGGGCGGCCCAGGCCGGAGCTCAGCGACGCCGCCAACGCCCCCACCTCCATGGTTCCTCGGCCTGCACGGTCTCCTTACCATAAACTTGAGCGCTTTCTCCTGCAGCACCGCCTCGGCCGGGTCCATAGTCGCCGGGGCCACCCGGTCTGCTCTCCTCGGGGGCCGCCCCTTTGGTGCCAGGCCGCAGCCAACGCAGCTCCCGGATCCCGCCTCCTCTTCCTTCCCCCCGCCCTCTCTTACCTTTCAGGCACGAGAAGGGGGGCCGAGGAGGACCAGCTGTTCCGCACGCATGCGTAAGACCGCTGGCTCACGGGATTTGTAGTCCCGGAGCTTCCCGCAGCAAAAAGTGAGGCCATGCCGTGAACCGCAACTCCCGCCGTTCACTGCGGCCGGGTCGCGATTGCAGACGAGGCCGATCTAGACAACTCGCCGTCAAGTACAGCAAATCGGCTGATGGGAAAGGTAGTTTACAGTCCTTACGGATGCGAAGCGGGAGGGGGCGTGGGCGTCTCCGTGGTTACCGAGCGACGCCAGTGCGGCTTGCCTAGCATTTCTATCAAGATGGCGACCAGCGCCTCACCTGTAGCCCAGATACTGGGAAAAGGTGTCAGAGGATTCAAGAGCCCTCCCCTGACTGTGGTTCTGGGGACTGGACATCCCCCAGTTTCATGTATCTAGCGTCTGTGAGAGATTGTGACCCACAGGCGCCAAGCCAGAGTGCACCAAGCAGCAGCATACAGACCAAAGCAGAATTTCAAGGTCCTCCTAAGCTGTCGCCCACACTTCTCTCGAGAAACCTTTTCTCCCCCAACAATCAGCCAGTCCAGGCCGGATGGAATTAGGCTCAGGAAGTTCTGGGTTCTTAGGAGCCCAAAAAGCGCAGCCTGCTACTGCTAACCCTGGGATGTAAGCCCTGTGCTCTGAAGGTCAAACAGGTGCTTTAGAAAGCCCTTCAGTGGTGGACTGCAGTAGCCACTCAGCACGTAAAGTATAGAAGTATTTTCTTTGGCTCTTAAAGGGACAATAGGATTTTATTTTGGAAACTGGGTCTATCTTAGGAGGAAAAAAAAAAAAAAAACACAAAATGAGGCTGGTGCAATATATCAGAATTTACCCCCAAAAAATAATTAGATCAGGAAAATGCTGTTTCACCCACAGAAGAAAACTCTATTGTAAACTCCTTTATGCATTCGTTCGTTCAACATTTTGTCAACACATAACTGTGTACCGACGTCATCTCAAAAAATGGGGCTTCGTTGGTGAACATGACAGACCCAGCCCCTTTCTTTGTGGAGCTTACATTTCTAGGATGGATGTGGGTGATACCATACCTGGCGGGAGGTCTGCCTGCCCTGCCCATGCAGGATCATGAGCAGGCATGGTACACCACGCCTCCCAGGAAGGACCCTACAATCGGACTGCTGGCAGGTGGCAGGAGCCCCAGGCATTTTTACACGCACACATGCATGCGCACGAGCACACACACACACACACCACCCCTGTGAAAGGGCCCTGCAATTGCCAATCAGGTAAACAGCTCCCGGGTGTGGTGCATGCCCTTTAGGACACCTGGAAAGCTATCCTAGCTACGTGACCTTCAAGCTGACTGGAGAAGCATAGCGGCCAATATCGGTTCTATCCTACAGAATGAGTGTTGCCCCTTCTGCCTGCCCTTTAAAGAGGCACGTGGTTGTCAAAGCAGACATGTTCACCGAAACTTGTCTCCAGTGCTTCTTGTTGAAGAGTGCCGTTGCCCCACCCATGCTGACAGCTTGAGGGCCTCTCAGGATGAGCCCGCAGATTTTGATGCCTTGTCCTACTCATCCCTATAGCCACAGAACTCAGCACATAATCAGCTTTCAGCTAAAGTTTTACTCTTCTTGAATTTAAAAAGGAAGAAAGAAAACAACTTCTACACATGCGCAAAATGGAGACGACTTAGAACTCATCCCGGGACTGTGGTGGTGGTGCAGCATCCCCTCCACTCTGCTCCAGCTCCCTGCTAATGGGCCTGGGAAAGCCGTGGAGAATAGCCCAAGTGCTTGGGCCCTGCCACCTTCACGGGAGACCTGGCTGGAGTTCCTGGATCCTGTCTTCAGCCTGGCCCAGCCCAGACTGTTGCAGCCATTTGGGGAAAAGTAGTGTCTGGGTGGGAGGCTTCAGTGCTCGCTCTGCTTTGCCTCTCGCAGGCCACACCTGGAGCACTTAGCTCAGTAATGGGCACCACAGTCTGTGGGTACCTTCTGCAGAAGCAAAGCCAAGGACAAGAAGACCGACAGAGAAAATGGTTGGTGGATGCTTACAGGATAAAAGAACATGTAGGAGTAACACGACAGCTAACTTCAAGTGTCTGAAAGACTTTGAGGGCAAGTATGTAGCTCCATAGGACAAAGTAGGACCAACAGGTGGAATGATGACGATGAGCACAACAGCCATCACTTTGTTAGTTCTTCGTGCTATGCATTGGACTAGTCATTTTACAGTCATAATCGCCTGTGTTCATAGTTACTCTGTAAAACAGATGTTATTATCCCTACTTTACACATGAGGAGAATGAGACTGATAAGAGATTTTAAAAATACTTGCTTAAGGGCTGGTGCTGTGGTGCAGCGGGTTAAAGCGCCAGTCTGCAGCATCAGCACCCAATATGTGTACAGATTTCAAGTCCTGGCTGCTCTGCTTCTAATCCAGCTCCCTGGGAAAGCAGCGGAGGATGGCCCAAGTCCTTGGGTCCCTGCACTCACATGTGAGACCCGGAGGAAGCTCCTGGCTCCTGACTTCAGATCAGCCCAGCTCCAGTTGTTGCAGACATTTGGGAATTGAACCAGCAGATGAAAGATCTCTATCTCTGCCTCTTTGTGTAACTCTTTCAAACAAATAAAATAAATCTTAAAAAAAAAACTTGCTTAAGTCATGTTGCAAATTACATAATCAGGATCCTAACCCAAGTCTGTTTCGATCTGAAGTCTGTGCTATTTTTACTGAAGCAGTCTGCAGTAAAATAGGACTCAGATTAAGATTAAAGGAGAGGCCAGTGCTGTGGCATAGCAGGTAAAGCTGCTGCCTGCTGTTCCAGCATCCCATTCGGGCACCAGTTTGAGTCCCGGCTGCTCCACTTCTGATTTAGCTCTCTGCTGTGGCCTGGGAAAGCAGTAAAGAATGACCCAAGCCCAAGCCCTTGGGCCCCTGCACCAGCATGGGAGATCTGGAAGAAGCTCCTGTGCCAGAGTCCTCACCACTCCGGGCTCCTGGCTTTGGATCGGCACAGCTCCGGCCATTAAGCCAATTGGGGAGTGAACCAGCAGATGAAAGACTTTTCTCTCTCTCTCTCTCTGCCTCTCTTTCTTTGTGTAACTCTGACTTTCAATGAAATAAATAAATCTTTAAAAAAAAGATTAAGATAAGAAGAAGAGGAGCTGGCACTATGGCATAATGGGTAATGAGACACAGGCATCCTATGGGCGCCAGTTCATGTCCTGGCTGCTGTTAATTGTACTTCCAATCCAGCTCCCTGCTAATGTGCCTAGGAAAGCAGTAGAGGATGGCCTAAATGCACCCACATGGGAGACCTGGAGGAAGTTCCTGGCTCCTGATTTCATACCTGCCCAGCTCCAGCCATTGTGGCTATTTGGGGAGTGAGCCAGGGGATGAAATCTCTCTCTCTCTCCCCCTTTCTGTAATTCTGCCTTTCAAATAAATAAATACATCTTTAAGGAAGAAAAAAAACTTTCTAGTGAATAGAAGTTCCCTTACAAAGGAATAGACTGCCCCATTCCTGAAAAAATGTAGAAGTAAAATGACTATCCATTAGGGGTTTTGTCTAGAGGGTTTCAGTTCAAGTGGGTAGAAAGGTTAAGATCTTTCAAGCTCTAAGATTCTACTGTTGAGAAGTCACTTGTTTATATTTTCTGTCCATAAAGGAGTATGAAAATATAAGCCTGAGGCCTGTGCCGTGGCTCAATAAGCTAATCCTCTGCCTTGCAGTGCTGGCACACCGGGTTCTAGTCCCAGTCGGGGCGCCGGATTCTGTCCTGGTTGCCCCTCTTCCAGGCCAGCTCTCTGCTGTGGCGAGGGAGTGCAGTGTAGGATGGCCCAGGTGCTTGGGCCCTGCACCCCATGGGAGATCAGGAGAAGCACCTGGCTCCTGGCCTCAGATCAGCGCAGCGCACTGGCCGCGGCGGCCATTGGAGGGTGAACCAACGGCAAAGGAAGACCTTTCTCTCTGTCTCTCTCTCTCTCTCTCTCACTGTCCACTCTGCCTGTCAAACAGAAAGAAAGAAAAAAAAAGAAAATATAAGCCTGGCAGCAAGTGACAGTCCTTTGAAAAGTTGTGTAGAGGTGAGGAATAGTAAAGCAAACATAAGGAATGGTTGTGATAGCTCATATGCACATGGATTGGAACTGAGCAGACAGTGCTGACCGCAGAATGGCTAAGTCCTCCACTGAAATTACCCAATCATGGTCAGGCAGTCTGGGAAATCCAAATATGGGTTGCCTTGATTTCAAGCCCTCCATCTCTAACATGAGTTAGGAAAGTTTTCACTGGGCTGGGAATTGAGAGACCTGGTTCTAGTGCCTCCTTTCAGCAGTTCATTCGTTGACTTTGGGTAATTAACCTCCTTCTGGCCCCTTCTTACGTCATCTGGAAAAGAAAGGTCTCTGGCGACTCCCAGATGTGTGCACTCGTGAGCCTGTTTACAGCACAGTCACGCAAGGAGAACCCTGAATCATTGGAACCTTCAAAGCTCCACTTCACTGGAAAATGGACTTCCAACATGAGAAACCACAGCTACCGCTAGACTCAATTTCTTCCCCTAACGTCCTGTTTAAGACCTCAGAGTGCCCTTAGATTCACTTTTGTCTGTTAGAATCTGTGCTTGGCCGGTAATGTGTCAAATGTCTCTTCCAGCCCCCACCTCCAATCTCCAATCCAATCTCCAATGACTTTTTCCAGACATTGCCTTTTTTTTCTTTTTTTTTTTTTTTTTTTGCTTGGTTCATCATATTCACTTCCAATCTAGTTCTTGGAACTCAAAATCCTTCCAGCTGATCTGCTAATCTACCTTAGACTCCACGTTCATCATATTTCTTCCCTGCTCAATCCTTTTGTGGCTCTTTTTGTTAGGAAAATGGCGCAGTCTTATCTATGGCACAATCTACACCCTGACACCATCGTAGGCTCTAGCCCCCACTGCCATTGCTGGAAGCCAGGTGGCCACATGGCCCAACCACCAGTGTCAAGCTCCACCCCCATCCTATTGGGGTTTGCTGTTCCTACTTCCCTGCCCGCACCCTGGCAAAGTTTTAAAAGGACCTGTTCCTGAGCAAGTCTCTCTCTCTCTGTCTCTCTCTCTCTTCCTCTCCATCTCCTAACCTCTGTCTCTTGTCTCTCTCTCCTACGCTCTCCTTTTCCTTCTTTGCCCCTTCCCTCCAGTCTGTCATGTTTCCCCCAATAAACCCTT